AATGATAAAAAGTTTAGAAAAATTGGAAGAAAACAGTAAAAGTTTGGAATATAAATTGGAGGAAAACAGTAAAAGTTTGGAATCTAAATTGGAAGAAAACAGTAAAAGTTTGGAAAATAAATTGAAAGAAAACAGTAAATTTTTGATAATAAATTGGAAGTTGGAAACGTGAATAGGAAGAAAATAGTGAAAGTTTGAAACGTTAATTGGAAGAAAACAGTAGAAGTTTGAAGAATAAATTGAAAGAAAACAATAAAAGTTTGGAAAATAAATTGGAAGAAAACAGTAAGTTTGAAACGTGAATTGGAAGAAAATAGTAAAAGTTTGAAACGTGAATTGGAAGAAAACAGTAGAAGTTTGGAGAATAAATGGGAAGGAAAATTTAATAAGAATATTCAAGAAACAGAAGAGAAGATAAAAGTGCTAGAAGAATTGATCTTTAATGGAAAGACAAAACCAATCGAAGGGGATGTTGGCGCATCTAGTACACTCAACGAAGCCAGCCAAATCAGCCAAGGAAGCGGTATAGAGTCAAGAACACGAGTAAAACCACCAACGTTTGACGGAAAGTCCTCATGGACCACATACCACAAGCAATTAGAGGCGGCTGCTAAGGCGAATAACTGGGCGCCTGAAGAAAAAGCCACTGTGTTGACCGTTGCGTTTCGTGGAGATGCATGTGACATTTTGAACACCCTTTCCCCTGGAGACGGATTATGAACAGTTGGTAAAACGGTTGGAGTTGCGCTACGGCGAGGCTCATTTAACAACGGTGTATCACATCCAACTGATAACCCGTCAACAGAAACCAACGGAATCCCTACAAGAATTCGAGACCGATATTGCGAGACTGTCCCGACTGGCCTATCCTAATTCTCCAGAAGAATTGATGGAAAGGTTGGCAGTGGAGGCATTTACTGATGGACTTCGGGACAGTGACACCCAACAACGAATAATACCCTTGACCGACCTAAGACGCTAGCTGATGCATTGTCTCGTGCATTGGAGTACGAAACTGTTAAACGGGCCTATAGCAAACAGGGAAGGGTTCGGCCACTGTGTGAAGAAACGGATTCGTCAGAATCTTTAGAAGAAACCGTCTGCCGAATCATCTCCAAGTTCGATAGTTACACGAAAGCTAAAATGCTGGAATTGCAACAAACTAGGTCACACGCGGAGGCAGTGTAGGAAAAGTACTCCTTCCCCAAGTACTCGACGTCAAACAGACTGCAAGCAGTTAGGTCGAATGGAAAAGAATGAAGAGGCAATTCGACGCGTCACGGTAATCGATGACGAATGGTTACCTGATAATATAAAACACGACCAAGAAAACGACCCGGACTTGAAGAAGATAATGGAATGGAAAAAAGACGGAAAACGACCAATGTGGCAGCAAGTTTCTTCCTGTACCCAAGTACTAAAATCGTTATGGGCTCAGTGGGACTCAATGGTTTTGGAGGATGGCATCCTGAAGCGTGTTGTTGAAAGTCCAGATGGAGAGGAAGATAGGAAGCAAATGGTTATTCCTAGAAACAAGGTTAGAGAGGTGTTGCAGTATCTTCATGATGGATCATCTGGTGGCCATTTTGGAGTGAATAAGACGCTTGGGAAAGTTTGAGAGCGATTTTATTGGGTGAACTGTAAGGAAGATGTCAAGAATTGATGTAAGAAGTGTACCACCTGTGCCGCGAGTAATGGACCACAGAAAAGGCCAAGGGCGCTAATGCGTCAATACAATGTCGGTGGCCCCTTCGAACGAATCGCAATCGATGTGGCGGGTCCATTCCCAGAGTCCGAGAAAGGTAACAAGTACATCGTGGTCGTTATGGACTATTTTACCAAGTGGGTTGAAGCCTATGCCCTTCCGAACCAAGAGTCGGAAACCATAGTTGAGGAGCTGGTGAAAGAGTTGATCAGTCGTTTTGGGGTGCCCTTGGAGTTGCACTCAGACCAAGGGAGGAATTTCGAATCGGCTATATTCCGTGGAATATGCGAGCTCCTAGGAATAAAGAAAACTCGAACCACTCCACTCCATCCACAATCGGACGGCATGGTTGAACGAATGAACCGGACCTTGATTAAATATCTCTCCAAGGTAGTGTCTGACCACCAAAGGGACTGGGACCGCTATTTGCCTTTATTCTTAATGGCATACCGTTCATCTGTCCACGAAACGACTGGCCAAACACCTGCCAGTGTCCTTTTTGGAAGGGAGTTACGACTACCTTGTGACCTCAAATTCGGCTGTAAACCAGGAGATGACTTGGCTGGAGAAGATTATGTTACCAACCTCCGAAGAAAGCTTAACGATATCCACGAGTCGGTTCGTCTGCATGCGCAGATTGCTAGTGACAGGATTAAAGAAAACTACGACATCAAGGCTACAGCAGGTAGTTACCAAACGGGAGATCTTGTTTGGTTGTATAATCCTCGCCGTCGCCGTGGACTATCACCTAAGTTCCAACAGAATTGGGAAGGACCCTATGAGATAGTGAAGAGGATTAACGACGTGATCTACCCAATTAAGAAAACTCCAAATGGGAAGCCGAAGGTAGTCGATTTTAATCACTTGGCTCCATTCGCCTGTGCAAATGAAGAGGAGGCGTGGGCCAGATTATTAAGAACTACTCCTTCCGAGCCCACATTCAAAGAGTTCATGAAGGAAGGTCCCCATGTTAACAGGAAATTTGGAGTGACGCAAGAAATCCGACGAGACCATTGAGTTGGAGGCAAGTTCTCATCCCGCAGGATAATCACGGAGCCCAATTTTATTTGACGATTACCCTTAAACCATTTGTGCCATGCTTTGAGTTCGTGGAGATACTACTGGTGCCATTTTTTTTCCAGATGTCCTGTTTGACCTATTAGGCGTGTTGCCACAGAGATAGGCAGTTAGTCGGTGTCTTAGAATGATCATATTCGGATAAGTTAGAGGGGTTATCGCCAATAAGAAAGTGTGCAGGAGTGAGTAGGAGCAAATCACTGATGTCAGAGGACAACGGTGTGAGGGGACAATAGTTAGGAACAGCTTCTATTTCATTAATAATGGTACTGAATTTCCCAGACGTAAACAAAGTGTTGCCAATAAATCGCTTCAAATGGCGTTTAAGAGATTTGACTGCGGCTTAGAGATAGGAGACCTTTTTGCGTAACCATGGAGGGCCTTTCGTCCAGAGGGTAGTTTGTATGAATTCTTCTGGGGTATACCTCTTAATAGAATATGGGAGGGATTTTCATGGATACGCACGTGTTTCCAGCCTTCTGTATTAGTTTTACTGTGTATCTAAGCGATTTTTTTTGCCACGAATGGTTTTAACGAGTATGATTCCGTATGAATCCAATGAAATGTAATATTGGAGTCTGTCCAAAAGTTAGCCTGATCAATATGATGATTTATGGAATGTATAAAATTAGCTGTAATGACTGTAGTAAAAAATATATTGGACAAACTAGACGCCCAATCAAAACTAGATTTAAGGAGCATTTAGCTCATGCACGGTTTGGTAGAGGAAAAATCTAATGTTGCCCAACATATTCTTATTGAAGAACATAAAATAATAGTAATAGTCTTAAATTAGTTAAGGAAGTTAGGAATAATTGTTTACTAGATAGTTTTGAAAGTTTATACATTTATAAAAATAAACAAGTTTTACTTAACAATGACAATGGTCCTATCTCTGGATGTTGTCAAGGTCCATTGAACATCAACTTTGTTGTCACTGAGCTATGTTCACTGAAGTTAATAACTATTAGTATAAATTACGTTTAGTTCCCTTTTAGGTTTAGTTCACTTCAGTCCCTAAAGAAGGCAACCTTGTTATCGAAAAGTGCTTCGGACAACTAAAGTGTCGTGTTTTGGCGTTGGGGTTTGAGCTATTTTGTTTGTTCAATGTCTTTGACTTTGTTTATGAATTCGATTGAATTTTTAACTGAAAAACTAGGTTGTTTAATTGGGAGGTTGTTGAATTAATTTGTCAACCATTTGGCTAGTTTATAAGCTGGTGACCCAATTGCAGAGACAATTGGTTGCATCGATTTACTTGGTTTATGTATCTTAAATAAACAAAGTTTACTTAGCAGTGAGAACGGTCCATTTCCCGGATCTCTGCTATTTAGTCTAGTTTAATTACTTTTGTTATTCTTGTCAAGGTCCATTGAACATCAACCTTTTTGTCACTTAGCCATGTTCACTGAACATTAACAGCTATTAGTATAAATTAGGATTAGTTCCCTTTTAGGTTTAGTTCACTTCAGTCCCTAAAGAAGGTAACTTTGTTACCGAAAAGTGCTTCGGACAACTAAAGTGTCGTGTTTTGGCGTTAGGGTTTGAGCTAGTTTGTTTGTTCTACTTTTACGGTGTAATATAAATTTGCAAAATAAAGCAATGAGACTAATTCTTGTATGTAGTAGATATACTAGTATTAGTATAATGTTAAGAGAAGTACGATGGCTAAATATCAGGGACCAATCGGAATATCTAACACTTGTCTTTATACACAAAATCAACCTTAAGTTGATGCCAAATTATTTTGATGATGGGTTAGTAGCATTTACCAAAATACATAATCATAATACAAGAAAAGAAAGGAACTGTATGTTACCTCAAGTCAATAATAAAAAGACACAAAACAATCTTTTTCAAAGGAGTGAGCAAATATAATGATCTCGGAAAAGACTTAAAAGAAGCTAACTAGTAAAATTTAAAAGGCAGCTTAAACTAGTGAATGTAAATAAATTATAGGATTGTAGTCACGTAAATATGTAGGACTGTTTCCGCATTTTTTTGTTATGTTTTTTTTAAGTTAGTTAAAGATAAATACGTATTACGAAATTGTATAGCTATTCTAAATAAAGCTATTATTATTATTATTTTTTATTATATGCATTTTATCTGTTATTATTTTAAGTCTGTGCATTATTGCTACATAAAGACTATCATCAATTTATCATTATTAAATTATTATTTTTTACCTACTCAGGCTTCAATTTTATAGAAAATGTATGTCAATAAGAGCGAAAGTTGAGCACGTGGCTTGTGTCAAGATTAGATAGCGAGTGATTGTACCTCGTACTTATTTGCAAATGTTTAGAATTATGCATAAACTGTGTTTGTACTTGTTTAACCTTTGAAGTCCTTTATTTTGTGTTGCTATTTTATTTAATAACTTTTTATTACGCAATAATGTTATCACCACACATGAAATGTAACCTAACCTATTAGGTGCTATTATTTCTACAACGACCAAGTTTCCTGTTTAATTATTGTTATAAACTGAGTGAAGTGATAAAGGATCCACAGTATTAATTGGTATCAACAACAGTCTGAAGTGGTGAAATATTTTAATATAATTTATAATCATTGCACAACTTTTTATTAAAATGGCAAAATTAGTTGAATCCTTTTCTGAAATTTTAACTCCATACAAGTCAATTATTGGACCAGTGGCCAGTGTATTAACAATTGCTCAGTTTTTTGCTGGTGCACTAATATGCAAAGATATAGCAGCACAAGGCAACACCGAAGGCTTTTCATCTATGCCATTTATTGGTGGCATAGTTATGTAAGTTGTTTATCTAAGAAAAGTAATCTATTGCATTTTATAAACTTTTGTTACTTCTTAACTGATAATATGCTTTTTCAATAGGTATATTATGCATCTTAATCAACTGTTAAAAATACCAGTTGTTTATAACATATGCAGTAAATGAACTGTCTTGTAATTTTAACAAAATCATATCAAATTTCTTATAACTTTTTGTATTTGCTTTCTTTACATGCTTGCTAATATTATGAGTTTTAGATTATTATTAAAGCTAAAGAAATATCGTGTTTTCTATATTTTCTTTTATGTACAGTATAACAGTATTAATTTTATCAATTTTATCATTGTTACTATACAATTAAAAAAGCAATATGCCCAATTATCAATAGTAAATTACAAAATTATTAATTAGTAGGGATGAACAAATTAACTTAGAAATTAATAAAAGGTGTTTTTAGAGGTGCTTTAATGTTGAAATATTCTATGATGTTAAATGATTCAAGTATGTTTGTGGTGAACTTGGCAGCTGTATTGTTGAATATAATTTACACATTCTTCTTCAATAAGTATTCCCGGTGTAAAAAGCAGGACATTCACCAGCCCATAATGTGGGGTACAATCCTAATGACTGTGATATTTGCATATACTTTTTGGGAGGAAGAAGAACTTATTGAGTATAGATACGGACTGATAGTAACAGTATTAATGTTGGGCCTGTTAGGAAGTCCATTAATAGAAGTGGTATGCTTATTTATATGATCCGAATATTGAAGTGTGGGACATTTATTTTGCTTTGATTCATAGCAATATTTATTTTTTTGTTTAGAGAGAAATAGTAAGAAAAAAAGATGCCTCTAGCATACCTTTGCCAATCACGTTCATGGCATGTATAGTAACCAGTTTGTGGCTTCTTTATGGATTTATACTAAAGAACGAATTTATGATCGTGAGTTGCTGTTTTGGTGTAGTGTATGTAATCTGTTATAATTTTATTAAATTTCAGATTCAAAATTTCATTGGGTTCTTTCTTTGTCTAATGCAGTTAACTTTGTATTGCATCTACAGATGCCCAGATATGAAAAAACAGAAAGAACTGTAATGATAATTGCAGACTACATATTAGCTTGTGATATAAAATATTCAAAACAATTAGTGATTATGAACATTTTCTTTGGTGAGGGAAAAATGATTTAAACATTGCAATTTTATAGTTTTACAAGAATTACTTTATAAAGAATCTATATTTCCAAATTACAATACATTAATGACATGTATGAAGTTCTTAAAATAAAAGATGCATATGGTATGTACTTACATCTATATCTGTATGCCAATTTTGTGTTAAGTTTTTTACAACATAAGTAAATGCATTTGATCCTAATTTATCAACTAACGTCTCTTAAATCCATACTTTTTGCGTTCATAGAATAAGTCAGTCTTAGAGCTACCCAAGTTAACAATCTTGGGACAACCATCTCGATCTTTTTCTTGAATTGTACATTCTTTACAATAATACGCATCAGATATGCCAGGGCCACCACATATAACACATCTTCCTTGATAAGAACCATAATTGCACTCGTCGCATATTCTAACTAGTGTACATGGTCTCACATATGAATCACATATCACACATTTGCCATCACATTTTTCACAAAGTCTTCCTATAGCAACTCCAGGTTGTTTACGGCAAAAGATTAAATCAGGATGATGTTTCGCCATTATAATTGAAATTTACAGCTTTAAAAATATGCAACTTTAATACGTACTATGCATGCATACGTTACCGTATAAATCTACGAAATAGAGCTCATCCAAATTAACTAATTAACCATTACGAAAATCAACTTTCTGTAAACATATAACCTAAAGCAAATTGACGCATGTAAATCATTCATCTTCTTATGAACTCTATGCTCACCATAACCATAGAAGGATAAACGGACAGATAAAAGGTAAATCATAGACCTACAAAAAGAATTTTAAACTCACAAAAGTAATCAGCGTTGCCAGACCTCCAGTTTTAGCAGATCTCCTGCTTTTTTGAAAATTCTCCTGTTCTCCTGTATTTCATGAAAGAGATAGCACTAGTCCGAAACCATACGCCATCTCCCTCACTTTTCGAGCCAAGAAATTATTACGACATACGGCTAAGGCACGCCATTAATATATGTCTATGAATGGACGTGCCTTAGCTCATAGACATTTAATAATGGACGTGCCTTAGCTCATAGACATATAATAATGGACGTGCCTTGCTCATAATTATTAATAATTAAAAAGTACGTTTACAGAAGTTTGAGAAAAATATACTTATTTATTCTTAATAAGCTGGGATTCAACGTAACTAGTATATTAATTACTGTATACTAAATATTTATCCATATAATTGTACAGAACTTTACACATGTTCGTATCTATTATTCGCATGTATGTGTGATAAATTCTGGAGAGGGTACAAACAGGCCTGTACGTTACGTCGCCGACAAAGTGAGCCCTTTCCTAACCACTTTTGATCTCGCCTCTGTTGCAGAGAAGCCACGAAGAGCAACAGACGCAAGTCATTACAAAAACTTATATGTATTTTCTTTTATACTTTTGGTTAACGATGCATTTACGAAAGAATAGTTTTTAAACAAAATAAAAGTGTTATACAGTCCACTTATTGATCAACAATCATACAATAATTTAAGAAATTATCGAGAATAAAGTTTTATTTACAACTAATTTTTGCAGTAGAATTAGTATTCTTCACAAATTTTAAAAGTCTAAACGCTGACGAAGGAGTAATGCCTGGTATTCTACTGGCAGCTGCAATCTAAAAGGAAATCTTATTTTACATGGCGGCGTAAAATCGTGTGATCTAAATTTTTGTGGAATCGCTACGGGTTTGTTACTCGATGAATAAATTTCAAAACAAAGTAATCTTTCCATCGTAATTCAATTTCTAAAAGGTACAAATCACAAAAAGATATAACAGGTCAATTGAAAAGTCCCCGGCCTAAAATAGTAAAACACATTTTTTTTGCAAAATTCGTTTTTTTTATTCAACAATTCCCTTCAAGGGTGATACACTGATTATAGCGATCCTCCCAATTATCAATAGTAAATTACAAAATTATTAATTAGTAGGGATGAACAAATTAACTTAGAAGTTAATAAAAGGTGTTTTTAGAGGTGCTTTAATGTTGAAATATTCTATGATGTTAAATGATTCAAGTATGTTTGTGGTGAACTTGGCAGCTGTATTGTTGAATATAATTTACACATTCTTCTTCAATAAGTATTCCCGGTGTAAAAAGCAGGACATTCACCAGCCCATAATGTGGGGTACAATCCTAATGACTGTGATATTTGCATATACTTTTTGGGAGGAAGAAGAACTTATTGAGTATAGATACGGACTGATAGTAACAGTATTAATGTTGGGCCTGTTAGGAAGTCCATTAATAGAAGTGGTATGCTTATTTATATGATCCGAATATTGAAGTGTGGGACATTTATTTTGCTTTGATTCATAGCAATATTTATTTTTTTGTTTAGAGAGAAATAGTAAGAAAAAAAGATGCCTCTAGCATACCTTTGCCAATCACGTTCATGGCATGTATAGTAACCAGTTTGTGGCTTCTTTATGGATTTATACTAAAGAACGAATTTATGATCGTGAGTTGCTGTTTTGGTGTAGTGTATGTAATCTGTTATAATTTTATTAAATTTCAGATTCAAAATTTCATTGGGTTCTTTCTTTGTCTAATGCAGTTAACTTTGTATTGCATCTACAGATGCCCAGATATGAAAAAACAGAAAGAACTGTAATGATAATTGCAGACTACATATTAGCTTGTGATATAAAATATTCAAAACAATTAGTGATTATGAACATTTTCTTTGGTGAGGGAAAAATGATTTAAACNAAGGTTAGGACTAACTGAAAATCATATGGATTTAGTTCTGGTGCCGCCACCTATGTGTCAGGCCGGGGACTTTTCAATTGACCCTAGTATTCTTGGATCAGTTTTTTAAATGAAACTTTGAAATCACTTGGGAACATAATACACTGTGTCAATATTACTATTGCCATTTTAAGTACATAATAATATCCATAATACTGAGGGCTATTTAAAAATGTCACGAAAACACAAGATTTACGTAGTTTCGCTTAATTGCTACAATTCAGTAAGATCAGGCGAGCGAGACGCACATTTATATCGAGCGTCTCAATAATTTGTGAGATGTACGCCGTGATTTGATGAAAAAAAAACGGGATTTTTTGATTTTTTTTCACTATTTGTTTAATTTAGTTAAGTTAAGCCCACGGTTTTACATATCCACATAGTGAAATTATCTTTGATTATGACTTTTTGGCAACAAAAACCTGGCATACTACCCTTTTCTTTCAGACATAGGTGTGTAAGAAGTGAGTAAATTGGTAGAATATATTTTTATTATTTCGTGTAACTGACTCTACGAACCTTGAATAATGCTTTTGTCTTCCGATCGAGAGGCATTTATCGAACCTCGAGTGCTAGACCAAACATACCTATTCGAAAACGGAGCCAATGTATGTAATTGATTAAGATATATTTCCTTTGATATTTCTGCATACATTAACGATTAAAGTTTCTTTGTCGAAACCTTGAAATTCAATCAATGTCTTTCTATCGTGACTGTTCTAATTGAAAAGTGTTTTGTGCCAAAGTGTTTATTCACAAACTAGGTGAGTTGTCTCACAGAGTAGAGGAAAAGGTGGTAATGTGGCCCCTGCAGATATATTGGCCCCCTTCAATATTTTAATGTTTGAACAACGCCATTTAGTATGTTTTATGCGCTACAGGATGTTCGCGGCATGATACGTATTTAGTACCTTATAAATCCACCAGAGCCTGTCACGTTCGATTGCCATTCGAACCAGTTGAAAGTCGTTACCGGTAAAACATTAAAGTACTGTGATTTTAATTCGGTAATTGTTTATAAATAGAATGTTTTGGCTATTGTGTTCGGACATTGGATACGTTGAACTGTTCTTAATAAATACAAAATTAGACTTGTAATAATTATTTTTGGTACGTTTGTTTAAATATTCTCAATAGTTGTAATTTGGCCCCCTCACATTGGTTATATTATGGTCCCGGGGGCCACATTCAGCAGTGGCTCTGAAAGTGACGAAGACGCAGTGAATACCGATTATGTCAAGTCGTTTACAAACGTGGTTCCTGAAAACGCGAACGTGCCATGTATGTTCTGCGAAACCATTTATTGCAATGACAGACCTGGAGAGCCATGGGTACAGTGTCAAGGTTGCGATTTAGGGGCTCATGTAGCCTGTGAAGGTTCTGAAAGTGACCATTATATTTGTGATTTTTGCCGTTAATTTTTAATTGTGCCCAGGGGATCACATAACCATCACATGATCTCAAGATACCAAATTTGAATAACTTAAGAATAAATAATATTTTTGCTATCCTGTACGCGTTTCATTTATTCCATAGTCAGACATGTATAGACAAATAAATAAGAAGTTCTATAATGTATCTTTAAGGTTTGTCACTCCTATATTTTTTAAATAAAACTTAAAAAACAAAGTAGGGGGCCACATAACCACCTAATTTATTTATTTTAGTAATTAATATTTGATTAATTATTATAATTGCGTTATACTTAATTATATTTTGTTTTGTTGTGTCTTGGAGTACATCGCGCGTTTATCCCTTCGTACTCTGCGTGTTAAGAGTCGGTACTATGCGAGTCTTCCCTTAGTACCTAAGTGAGGTTACAGTACCTTGTGCGCTTTTCCCCTGGTACCTGTTTGTACGTTTTACTGTTTACCATGGTAGATAAACTCTGCATGTCATTTCTAGGAGGTATTTTGCGCGTTTTTCCCTTAATACGGATGAATAGAAAATTTGACACAACCACCATGCAGATAATCTAACATTCAAATGATAGTTTATTGATTTATCTATTTAATGATTTCACATTCATACATACATTACTCTATTTCGATACTGTTATTTATTTGGATCAATTCATTAGTTGAGGTAAATTGGTTGCTCAGGTTGTTTTGTATTTTTTTTCAAAATTGGTCTTGATCATATTTCGTCCGGGAAGTGTTATTTTTTTAAGCATTAATTTATAACTATATTACGTTGTAAGTATATTTGTTTTTTTTTTTAATTCAATGGATTTTGTTTCTTCTTTTGTTTTCTTTCAAACAGATACCGCCTGGACTAAATAGTATATGATACTTAAACCTAATACGCTCTTAATCAACTACCGATTTTGTGCTTTGACGCTATTTTTTTTATTGTTCCCTTATTTTTCAATACAAAATACCCGAACATTCGGATTCAGTGTACCAAAAAAATTAGAATCAATTAAAATTGAGGCTTAGAACGAGTTGGTCGCTCGGTAAATAACCGGATTTTTTTGGCAGTCTCACTCGCCTGTTATGTCTTCAATCGAATGATCCCGAAACTTCTACTAATTCCGCGAAAATGTAGACTAATCGATTTTACGCCGGCATGTGGATTATATTATATTAATTTGAAAAAAGTACAACGTACCGTCTGAGGTTGTATAAAAGACAGTTTTTCCCTTTCTTCCATACTTATATTTAAGCTATCAGAATTGTAGTCTATATTGTCTGGAATTATCAAACGTTCATTTCTATGCAAGTCTTCAACCTGCTCAGCTTGATTTTTTATAGCGTTCTCGTACGCCGCTTCGATTTTTAATCTGTTTTCCAAGGAATCGTTTCCAACTAGTACTTTTAATTCAGGAATACAGGCAGCTAATTTCCTTATGGTAATTTCTTCTCTATTAAAATCTAACATTTCAAAGGCACTAAATGTGAATATTAAAATAGAAATTAGACACAACAAAATGCTTTTAAATTATTCAATAAATTTTATTTAAATATATAGGATATTATTTCAACCTTTCAACCTCCTAAGTATTTATCAGGAAGTAATTCATTTTACTAATAATAGTATTGGAGTAAAATGAATTACTTGCGATTGTCAAAAGAAATTTTATAGGAAAATAATAAGGCGGATCCATAGTCAACGATACCCTTTTCTCTGCAAAATAATGATGCTAAGTTACAACAGGAAAAAGACAACACGAACGTAGTAAGTGTTGTTGTGATTGTGTATTTAAGTTGGCAGCCAAGGGTGCTTTAAACTACACTTTTATCAATAGTAAGTAGATACTTGCTTGTGCAATTAAAAATACAACGTATGCGCGAAATTTTTTCTTTCCCGCTGTTCCTACAGTTCACGTTTCGTACCCGTATAGAGCCGTGCTCCAGATATGTTTAACAATCCTTTTCGAATTTCTAAATGAATCTTTTGCAAGCATAGAAGTAACTTCTTTTTATTGAAGGCGACTCGACCCTGCGGTATCCTTTGTTTTATATCGCTGTTACTCCTTCGATACTGAATTATTTGACTTCCCACATACCAAAAATCAGCAACTTCTAATTTTTCGTCTCCTATTTCCAAATGCTAATACTGCTGAATCATCTGTATTGCATAGGGTACACCCCATTTTCGATACTTTTGGGTTACGATTTTCGCGACAATTTGCTACTTATTTATGAAATTAAAATAAGGTTTCAGCAGAATCTTCATACGCCTTTTGGTTTTTGAGATACAGGGTGGAATTGAAAAGTTTCACCTTTGAGGCACCCCCCTCCCTAGTTATCTTTAAACTTATCGAAGATCTTATAACGTACAATTTTTCACATAAAATCTAGTGGTTTACTTAGATGTTCTCTATCATCTTCCGTTTTTTACTATAGTTATGATGCAAGCATATATTTTGTTAAAGCAAAGGCCCATCATGCTTTCCACATGGTTCTAACTACACTTTTTACAATTATTCAAGAGAGCGCCTTCTATGGTAAACGTTGCTGTAAATTCCAAGTCAATTATCATCAATCTAAAATATCCGTTTCTTGGAAATGTTAACACAAAATATTTGTACGATTTTGACAATATATATTTATATATTACAGGAGATTTTTATAAGAGGTGTTACTTATGTACTTGGAACCCTCGATATTTATAATATTATTGAAAAATTAATACACGCGATGTGTCTACCGAATATTCCCGACTTTTACCGAATATATATATAATATATGCTTTCATTTAATATTCTTTTGATTCAACTTTTTTAAAGAAAAAGGAACGGAATGTATTATTATATTATACATCATAATAGTTATTCATATATGACAGTTCCTCATACAAATGTTTGACAGACACATCGCGCAGTGTTTTCTATCTCGAAAACATCAAATGTGTATTAGGTAAAAATTTGATTTAGAAGTAGATATAAAAATAAAAAACAATTGTGTTTTTATGAAACCACAATGAAAATGAAACTTTTCGGATTGTAGGCATTTAATTGTAAATTTTCGGAAAATTATTCGATTTAGGGTATTAAAATTAAAATCGCGTTCTTAATCTTATCTTAATGATTGAAAAATGGGAATAATAATGGGAAGTCAATAGCAGAAAAGATATCCAACTGTAAATTTTAATTTCAATCTGCGTATAAGAGTACGGAATACATAATAAATGCAATCATTCACATGATAGACGCGTGTTAAAAGCTGAGAACAATATTTATTTAAATTATTGAATCATTTTGTACTTCAGTGATTCTATCAATAAGTTCATCTTCGCTTTTCACAGTCTATAAATGTGACTGTCATGCATTTGCACGAATAAGTGAGAATATAAATGCTATACGGTCAGCGAGCCATGAGCGCCGCCATATTGACCTTGGCTGCTCTGCCGAGCGCCTCTCAGTTTTACCCCTACTCTGCGGCTGGCTGTAAATTACCAAGTTACCAGTGCTTAGAACTTTTGGTAATCATTAATAATATAATTAAAACATTCATATCTTTTTTTTATCAATCACTGCCATCCACTTGCATGAAAATGTAAAATGTTTTTTTCAGGCAATGTAGCATATTAGTGGTATTATAAAGTTGCATCTTTGGACTAAGTGAGATAATTTTTAATTTTATCGATGTAGAAAACTCTATTACATGTCCTGATAGAAAAATCTAAGTTTTGTTCAAAAGTGTATTTAGAACCTTATGGAATTCATAGGCCAATTACTGCTGTCTGCCGATGCTTTTGTTAAAGATTGGCATCATTAATAATTGGAGAAACAGTGGGAGTAGTCTGCGCGTGAGATTATCTCTTACGTTGTAGTATCATGCTCCAAATAATGTTAAGACTAAATAAATAATACGTTGCATGCAACAGGCTATGCAACACTTCTTTGTCGAAACCACCAATAAAAATTAATTCGCGACAGAAAATCAGTTTGAAGTAAGGCTCACTGCAAATGATAAAGATGCAGCTAATGCTTTTTTAAAATTCGCCACACAGTCATATGAAAGGAGCCAACTTTCCTTGCTATTTCCCATACACTACTTTGGGGGTTGTCTTCTATGAACTTTTTCGTCTTCAACAGTGGTGATATGGTTCGAATGTCAACGTTCACAACCCTCAAAAGTGTTTGGTGTACATTTGCCGGTTTCTCGCAGTCTATATACCGCATTTAAAATGGTTTGGGGGTGTGAAAGTCTTCGCTGAAGATATCGATAGTAGTACAACTCCATTGTTACATTAATGTTCTATACACACTGGCCGTACATCAGAATCATATCACAAAGTTTTGACGTACTAAACGCCATTGTAATAACAGTGAGTGGCACACTAACCTAATTGAGAATCAGTGATTGACAACGTTAAAAGGATAAATATAACCACAGCCGTCTCTACTTACAAGCCGTACTGAAGGTTTACTTGGCAACACTGTGGGAGTCCCAGGATTTCCCAGCCAATGAGAGTTACAACTGACACACTAATTGTTGTGTTTCTTTCGTTGATATATAATATTTTAATTTTAGCGGAAATATCGTACAATAAGGATGCTTATAGTGTGTATTAGTAGTTAATAGTTTTGGATACAGTTTTTAATTTAAGAAGGTAATATTAACTATTAAGTGAAAGAAGTGAAAATGTTTTAGGTCAGATTGTGTCAGTTCTTAGTTGCAATTCAAATTATAAATCATCTTTAAAATGTAAGTACATATGTACATATTTTTATTCCCAAAAAAAATGATGAAATGCGAAAAAATGTATAAGTGCTATATCTCGCAAAAATTGGACTCCATGAAAATATTCTGCAGTTTACATACATCACTTTAACGAAGGTGATAAAAAACAGTTAAAAAAGTATCCACTGCCGGTAATGTTTTGAATGTGCTTTTAATACACCCTAAATTACCAGAGAATGATGAAACAGAAATTTAAATTGTTAAAAATTCTCCCTTAAACATAAGTCACTTTATTGAAATTTTAGATTTAGATGACTCCTTAAAAATTTACATTTCAGGATATGCAGTTCATTCTGCTCTAAAAAAGATAACTTGCAACAATTGTGTTTCGCTCATAATAAACAATAAAGGCTCTTGCGTTGGAGATATTTATTTTGATTATTTACAAAGGGGAGGACCTTCTGTTCCTACTGATAATATTAGTTTAGTTAAATAATAACAAAAATCTGCAGACACAATGTTTACGGGCTGTACACCAAGAACCAATTTTAGCAAAAATTAACTGTTTTCAAAAATATGTAGTTGTGGAAATTATTATAAAGATATACTCTACCAAATTTTATCTTCTTTTGCTAATGTTTTGCTTAATGATTACGTTAAAATTATAAATTATAGAAAGCAAGAGTCCCGCCACTCCAATTCCAATTCAGCTGACTGTAAGACAGCAACAATTCGTAAATTAGAAAACTTCAAATTTAATTAATTTTTTCTAATGGGATGGCAGGGCTATTGGCGAACCCCAAAAAAAAAGGTAACGCGCCTTGGCAATACTCAATGGTGGTGTGGAAATCTGCCTTGATAAAATTAGAATTATCGAGATGAAATTCATATAGGTACCTATCAATGTTTACCTAATCTATTGTTTTTTTTTTCTTAATACCTACATGTTGAAGTGTATTTTAAATACGTCACATACTATCAGTGATGAACAAATGTTAGTTATTTAATTATTTTAATTAATTTTTATCGTAATGGGTGTCTAAAAATCATGTGTAACGACATGTAGTAATTACAACTAAGACTCGCAGAATAGGACTCTCACATTGAAGCAATGCGCTGTTGCCAAACTTCTCAGCATGGCTTGTATTAGAGACGGCTGTGATATAACATAACATCGTGAGTCACAGTTAATCTAATGTGACAAACAACAAACAATCCATGAATAAATACAAAAACAACGACGCTGTTGATTGAAGGCGACGTTTTCTAGAAGAAGGTGAACTTTCAGACATACAAAAATTTACTTAATTTTCATGTCTCATAGTGCCCTATTACTTCCTGCAAGCTCGGCATTTATTTCTGTTACATCCTGTATGATATTTGGCATGCTTTTAAATTATAAAAATTTTGTTAAAATAATTGCGCCCGATAGTTTTTCACACTCATGTCGACTCATCCTAGACTATTTGTATAATACCTTACTTCTTTCAAATTTCGAGATAGAAAATTATTATAACGAATGTGATTATCAACAAAAATTAAATAAAGAACAACATACCTCCTTTGTTGGTGATTTGTTAATCCCGGAATTTTTAGAAGGGTTCCCCATTGAGAAGAAGCTTTATTTATATCTTTTAACAATTGTATACCATTTTGCAATGCGTTTTCCATTGTTTTTGTTTTGCTATATCTTTCTTGAGATACACAACCCATCTTATATCCTTTTTCAGTCAGTCTAAGATCAGCATTGTCTGGTCGAAGATATAATCTGAACTCCGCTCTGCTAGTAAACATTCTGTACGGTTCTGCAGTTCCTAAAGTGGTTAGATCATCAACTAATACTCCTATATATCCTTCACTACGACTAATAACGAGAGGGTCTTTATGTAGAACCTAAAACACAGCAAAGAAACCTCAATTTACCTATCAATTGAACATCTGAACAAATCTACGTCAATTAAATACGCATATTTATTTACACATTTTCTTAAAAGACTATCCAAAACAATTTTCATTCAATAAAAATATAGTAATCTAAGAGAATCTTTAACCGAATGCAACATAGTTTTGGAGTTACCTTTGCAGCTGCATTTATCCCTGCTAATATCCCTTGGGCAGCAGCCTCTTCATAACCAGTTGTCCCATTAATTTGGCCAGCTAAGAATAGTCCATTAACCCTCTTCAGTTCCAGACTAGTTTTTAATTCTCTAGGATCAACGTATTCATATTCAACACCATATCCTTAAATCAAAATCAATAAGTTACAATTTTGTATTGTAGAACAACTGCAACATAATAATTTTTTATAGAAATTAAAAAAAACTGAACAGTTCATGTAAATTAAGAACCTTTACTTACAATATTTAGATTAGATAATAAAACATTATTATTGTCGAAAAATGTATCTATCGTTATAAAAAAGACGCTTTCCAAAAATTATTTTAGGAGAATATATTCTTAGAATAACCCAGCGAATGACTTCATAAGTCAATCTTTAAAAGATATGTTTATTTGTGTAAAATTACTGCTAATTAGACCTGTTTTTTAATTAGTAGTATATATAGTAGTGTTACATACAATAACTAGTAAGGCGAGTCAAAAACTAACCTTAATTAGCGAAATACTAATACACATGAATAAAAATGCTTCATTACTTTTCAACATAATCCATGCTCCCCACATTCAATGTATGAGAAAAAAATTTCGTGCTTGACTGCATCAAAATTTTCACTTCGTCGTCCGTACTACCAAGAGTTTCGGGATCCAAGGATACAGGGTTTGTCCGGAAAGTAATAGAACTGATTTCCTTCCGCCGCGACTGCATTTCGGAGCGTGCGCGCACCGACTGGATTAGGTAGACAGCATTCCTAGCTAACGAACGAGCGGCTGGTGAGTTGTCTCCGAGCTTCTGGAGAGTCAGAACAGGCTTTTTCGCGCGACGTGTTTCTGTGAGTGGTGCAAGCCGAAAATGCAGCGTTCGTTAGAGCAGAGGTACGCGATTAAATTCTTTGTGAAACTCGGTAGATCTGCGACAGAGACGTTTGATACGATCAAGCAGGCTTACCCAGATGTTGCTTTAGCAAGAAGTGGTGTGTTTCGGTGGCACCAGGTCTTTTCAGAGGGGCGGGAAGAGGTCGCCGATGAAGACCGTGCTGGAAGAACTTCGACTTCGACAAACGCCGACAATGTGACTCGTGTGCGCGAAGTTTTGAACTCAGACCGTCGACTAAGTATTAGTTTAATTGTCCAGATATTAAATTTACCAAAATTTGTGGTTCATGACATTGTGACGGAGCATTTGAACATGGGTGAAAGTGACCCCCAATTTTTGAATAACGTAATCACAGGTGACGAGTCACGGATCTTTGAGTATGATCCCGAGACAAAGAGGCAATCTTCCGAGTGGCACACGCCGGCGTCTCCTCGCCCAAAAAAGGAAAGAATGAGTAAATTCAAAGTGAAAAGGATGCTCATTGTCCTTTTTGACATGAAAGGCATCGTCCACCATGAATTTGTTCCTCCTGGACAAACCATCAATGCCAAGTTTTACGTGAAAGTGCTCAAGAGACTCAAACGAAGGGTCAATCGGGTCCGACAAGACATCGCAGCCGACTGGAAGTTGCACCACGACAACGCCCCGGCTCACACCGCCTTTCTTGTGGACAGCTACCTGACCAAGGCCGGCATCCCAACACTTCCGCAGCCGCCCTACAGCCCAGATGGGCCCCCCCCCCGGACTTATTTTTGTTTGCTCGCCTGAAAAGGCCGATGAAAGGCAAGCATTTTGAGACGACAGAGGGGATCCAAGCAGCATGCACCGCGGCTCTTATGGCTATTCCGGAGAATGCCTTCCGTGACGCCTTCAATGCTTGGAAATCGCGCTGGCAGCGCTGCATCGACACAGAAGAAGCCTATTTTGAAAGTTTTTAAAGAATTGTAACGATTGGCTCAATATTTTTTTTTAAATCGACTCAGTCCTATTACTTTCCGGATAAACTCTGTATGAATCACTTAGAGCGAGGTATGACAAGCACTCGAAATGCAGATTTGAGATTTTTTCGACCGCTTCGGCGTTTGAACTATATGGCGGGTTTCAAATAGTTCTAGTTCTGAAGCAGATTACAATATATCTCATTGTTCACTTTTGTTCATTGGTTATACTTGTCACGCCATTTTTGAATTTCCTGTGTCTCTCATACACTTGCTGTAATGATAAACAACTATTTTCGTTCAGCAGACGATCAGACATGTAGCCAGGTCTGACTATCACGAACGCAAGCCGGATAACCGCATCCGACAAAGTAGAGCCACAATTTACAAACTCCCTTTGAAGTTCTGTGGAGCTCGAGAGACTTATATACTCAAAAATGTGTATGTGCTCGCGGTTCACGAGCTTCCCTTCACCTTTCAAACGCCGATGTATGCTTACAAAACAATATCAAGGGTGGCAGCAATTTCCTATCCTGTTTCTTTACTTATAATATAACTAAAGCTGCCCTACTCATTATTTACTTACCAATGTGCATTTTTCCACGTTCGACATACTTTCACTAAATTACTGCAAACACGAAAATCCTTATGTTCTAAATATTCCACATAACGTGGAGATTTTATAAACCGAATGTAAAGCGATTAATTCCCTAATTTATGGCTAAGGCGATTAATATTCATATTTGGGTTTAAACACGACTACGGAAATTATTACATTTTATGACCACCCATGCCGGGGTGTTACCAAATTTACAATAATTTATTCGTTCTGGTTGTTTGCATTCTCTTTATGAGATAAACAGTTTCTTTTCGCCTAGACTTTATTACACAATTTTAATCCTAATTATTAGCTAGGTTAGTGTAATTTTAAAATAATTTTCTCTGGCAATACAATGCAAGGCAACAAACACAATCATCATTTTTAAATAATACATTTTGCGTCAATTTTGGAGCTCCAACCAGCTGTTATCTGGTTAATATTCAATCACGAGTAAGATCCAGTTATCTGTAGACAGGTTATAGGAAAGAGAAAGAAATTCCTCTCGCGTGGTAACTTAGGCGCTAGGAATGTTCGGGGTTGTAAATGGTAAAAAACAGGTTGCCAAGAATATGGGTCTTTGCATTGGAGAATGTATTTGCAGCTTAGATAGAAGACCGGAATTCAGATAATCAAAAATCGAGCATATACTTCGTTTACTTTCTTCTAACTGAAGGTCACAGTTTGATCCGCGCAAAGTAGAAAAGAACAGCACTAGGCCAGAATAGGAAGGAGACAACTCTCGGCCAAACTCTTAACCGGTGAGGAGCGTATAATCCGTACAGTACTGCACGGAAAAATTGACTATTTTATCCACTACAATTGCATTGCTCAAATGTGCTATTATTGGTACCATTTACTACTGAAAATATCAACGAGATGTTTATTTATATTTGAAGACATACTGAAGGCTTTAACGTTTCTTTTCGACTCGCACTACTATTCATGATTGAACAGAATTTTTGGCAGGTACTGTATGAAAAAGTACGTTTAATGAACAAGAGTCGAGAGAATAATGAGTTTTTTTCCCCCTACCTACGATTTTGCCGGCGCGCATCCAAGACATTGGAAGGGGCACATCGTTAAAGAAAGAAAAGAAGTATACAAGTGATGAGTTTTTGTGTGATACTCCTTCGGTTTGAAATTATACGAATTTAGCAGTATTATTTTATATCAGAAATCGATCCAATTCTTATGAAGAAGCACGCAAGCGTTCTTCCACACCTTTTGATTGCATGATTCAATTTAGTACCAGTGCCAGAAAAATCACCCTATCTTTCCTGGTTTTTTACGTAAGTTCCAAGACCCATAGTTTAGTTAGCAACCAAAAATATTGTTATTTTTTTTAAATACCTTTTTATTCTATATATTCCGTGTGAACAATTTGTTTTATACTTTCTTTGTATTAAAAATTGTTTGAAAAATTAAATTTAAAGGAATTGTTTGTAAATAGGTATGCAAATCATCGTACACTACAGCATAAGAAATTACTGATACTAACTACGTAATACTACTTTGCCCTGTGCTGACAGCACTCATAATTTCTTTTATATACAATATTCTGTTCCGCGTAAAGCAACATTTGTCTATTAAAAACATTAGGTTCGGCAGCGCTTGAAGCCACTGACAAAAATTCATGGCTGAAAATCAGTTTCAAGTAAGGCTTGCACTTGTTTCAAATGATAAGGATGCAGCAACTGTTCCTCACACGAGAGTTGTTTGTCATGCGCGTCGTATCGATAGCAACAGATATATATTATATTGAACAAACGATAGCGATATCGGATAGTGTACAAATACTGGTCTAGATAGCCGCGCAAAGATGACAGCAATGTTATTCTAATATTTTGCACATTCTAATAGTTGCGCTAGTTGCGAAATGATCATCGGTAAAAAAAACCTAACTGATATTTACCAGGTCGCAATATTTCTGCTTTCTCTAAACCAGGAATTGCCCTTATTAAATCAACTTGCAATTCTTCAGGTAGAGTCACTGACAAACCATTGGGATATACTATGTTGCAATTTAACCCCTCTGGCTCTAACCAAATCTGATGACTTCTCCCACTGAATTTAAGAACCTTTGCCTCAATGCTTGGACAGTAACGCGGACTGTTACTTTCTGATTTGATATGGTTATTAAGATGTAAGTTTTCCTTCACAATTCTATCCACTACAGGTGTTGTATGAGTTATGTAGCATAACAGCTGATTTTCTGGCTTAAATAGAAAAATATGTAGACAAGTACCATAGCACAATATCAAATCATACCTTTATCCAGACACGTTCATTCATGAAAGAAAATGGAACAGGTGGATTATCTCCTTTTTGAACATCGCAAACACTGTAATCAATTGTATTAGCTTTCAATCTAGGGGGAGTTCCGGTTCTAAGATACCCAGTTTGTAAACCAAGAGATTCTAAAGTATTTCCCAAGCCTATAAAATTTAGAAATACAAGTAATTATTAACTCATTCAAGAATACAGTAGCTGCTACAACGTAAACTGTACTTTTAATTTATTTTAAAGAAAACGATTTACCTCAAACTTATTTGGTACCTATTTATAATTATCTTCATTATTAAACTATTTCGTTTTTTAAATAACCTCTACGAACAGTAATATAGAAAAATTGATGCTGTGATAAACATCCAGGATCAGAGACGAAACGACTTCTAAAGAAGCTCGTCACTCGTGCTAGCGAAATGTTAGGAAGCAACTCCAACGCACGACGGCTTTTAGACCCGAATCAGAACAGCATTAGTTCACCTACTGGCCGCGAAAGCCTTTATCAACATAGAAGAAATTACACATACCTACCTACAGCAGACTGATCACCCATTCGTCCAGCAGGTATAACTTTTAAGCCAATATTTATGTGAGCTTTTAAAAATGTTCCTGTTGTTATGATAACAGTTTTTGACTTAATTTTAGTTCCATCAGCTAAAAATAAATAAAACAATGACGGATAACACTAACGCCCACAAAGAAACAAGAAGAAATCATATTAGAACATGAATAGTGACATACATTACGAGTCAGAAAACCTAAAAAACTTGTTCTCGGGAACGTAAATAACGATATAGGACATAAACGTTATTTCCGCCAGAAAAAATAAAATATTTACAAATATGTGAAACAGAACCAAACCTAACCTTCATCTAACCTAATTAGGGGGGGGGGGAACGTTAATACAACACATCCTGACCGATGTCAGTTTGTGTTTAGAGGTTAGCTAGGTTATGGGGAGTATGTTCTCCCTTCCCTGGATCCAATCTTCTCAAATACAGTACTTGTTGCCGTACTTTTACGATGAGTTCTGATCAGTGTCGTTACCTATAAACTATTTACCTACATAAAAATTCTTTACACCTCCCCCTACCCGCCATTTTAGGCGATTTGCATGCCTTTTTCTAGGTTCCTAGTAAGCACAAATACTCCCAAACTCTTTAGAATTTTCTAAGCAGTGACAAAAAGTACACTTCAATGGGGGATTCCCTCCCCAACATTTGTAAATTTTCCTATTTTTTTATATTATTCAATTCTCTTGCATTTCATTTTCTATATGTGAAACTTTTGTGGGTACTAAAGTAATGCAGAATCAAAATAGTAACCACTTGAGAGTATCACTGATTAAAAATAAGAATAAATACAGTAAATTACCTAAAATCACACCAACACAACTTGTTTCAATCTTGTTATTGTCAGTAATTGTAACATTTTCTACTATAAGATCTTCCACAGAAGCAACGAGAATATCTAGGTTTGAGTAATTATTTAATAAATCCTTTTGTAAATGATTTTTGTACAAGTTACGGTCAATTTGTGCTCTTAAACCCCACACAGCTGGGCCCTTACGTTTATTTAATACCTAAAAATTAACAAACTGAATGAAAGTATGTTATTTATATACCAAAATTACAAATTAACTTTGTACTGAATTCCTGATAAATCGCAAATTCTAGGACAAACACCATCTAAAGCGTCAACTTCTCTCATCAGGTGTCCTTTACCGATTCCTCCAAATGCTGGATTACATGACATTTCACCTGCAATGCTAATCTAAATCACATTAATTTATCAAGGAAAATGGTGAAAAAGAAGATAAAACATTATCTATGACATAAACTCTAAACTAAAATGCTTTAGTCTGATCAGACCAGTATGTCTCTATTACACAATTATTTTCGTGACATATCAGCCACAAAGTTTATAACTAATAAGACTACAAATACAGATTGATTTTATTAGACGCAGCAGGCTACAATTGATCTTAGAACAAAAAATCGTATACTATCTCTAACTAAAACTTGTGTATTATTTACTTAATTAAATATACAATGTCTCTTACTATACCAATTTTTAATTTAAACTACATTCATACTTAATACCTATGCAAGGAAGATATAGTAAATTAACATGCATTTTTCGGTTTTTGGTTGTTTAATAACAATTAAAAAAAATACCTATTGTTTCCATTTTATGTGTAATGAGTAAAGTGTAAGCCCCCATTCTTGAGGAAGCTGAACATGCTTCCGTGCCAGCATGTCCTCCTCCAACAACAACTACATCATACTCTTTCTTGGTACAAAGCAACCTAACATTTCTGGAATATGTTTTTGATGTGAATTTATTAAAAGTTCGAAGAGATACAATCGCATCAGTCAACATCTCCTTAAAGCACTTTTACATCTTTTTCAGTAAGCTAGGGCCCGAAATTCTGAAAGCAGCAAAGGAGCAAACGAGCAGTGTAAGAAAGTTTCCCATATACCCTCGAATTTGTTACATACGTAGATACAAAATTAATTAATATGATATGATTGATATTTATGTATGTATGTTAAATTATAGGTTAAGCCACAGATTCGAGATATATTTATCGCCCATAGACATATATAAACGTCCAGTAGTAGACCACATGCAACCCCGATAGATATATATTTATAATGGCTAATAATGTTTTGCTAATGTGTAATGACTGTTCATAACCTTTTCATTGAAAATAATGATATCTTTACAGAAATTACAATTGATGTGTAGAAGGATAACCAAAACAGTAATGCAATGAAACTTGTATACAAAAATGTAGACAAAGATGGACAAGGGTAAGATAATTCTCAATCTCTTAGGTTAACTTACATGACACCTGCTATTTTATTTTACTAATTGATTTGTTCTTAACTTCTTATTAAAAATTACGATTTCTTCATTATTAATGACCCACAAAGAAATCTTTTTGATACCTTATTTATTTTAATCAAATTGTTTCATAGGACTGTGGGTTTAATTCCAGAAGAACCTGAGGATATGTGGCATGCTTACAACCTCATTTCCGAAGGTGATTCTGTTCGCAGTTCAACAATTCGAAAAGTTCAGTCTGAATCTTCAACAGGGTCTTCCACATCAAGTAGAGTTAGAACCACATTAACCATTAGTGTAGAAAATATTGATTTCGATACACAGGCATGTGTTTTAAGACTTAAAGGAAGAAACATTGAAGAAAATCAATATGTTAAGGTTAGCTTATGTATTACAAATCTTGAGTTAATTCGAAAACTTATTTTTTTCCTATTGAAAATAGTTTAAAAATGCCTGATTATGAATAGCACTTGGAAAACTTAATCACACCTAGATTCACCTTCCTGTAAACAAAAAGATGGATCTGTTCATGACAAAACTTAGCTCATATTGTCTTTTTCTGTACTTGACAGTTATAGCTATCTGTCCTAAAAATATTGTTGCTCCAGCTTTCTTACTGTAAAGCTATCTACTGCTGTGCTACTTTTTAAAAAAGAAAATATCACCATATGGTAAATTGTGGAAGTAAGAAAGCCTTATGAAAGTCTACCTAAAATCACAAGTAGAATTGAAAACCGTTATAATATACAGGTTTTTAATCGAAAATAACGTAGTTGATATCAACTTACAATATAATCAGAAGAAGTACATAGATACCACTATTTTAATTGAGGAGAGCATTTCCAATAACGCTATTGTCTAATAAAATAATTCGAAGTGGTCTGTATTTTGTGGAAACTGCCAGACGCGGATCGCGATTTCGATCTTTTTGGATCTCATCAGCGCGTCGCAGGCAGCTTCGACAGAACACAGACCAACTTTTACCTGCTGTCTTAACAGTACGTTTTAGAAAATACTACAAATGGCGCAGTAAACGCCATCTGTAGCGCGATGCTACATTTTAGGATTACGTTTGCTCCAACAAGGTCCACTTGTGTGGATATCTACTTACTGCGAAATCGAAATCGCGATCCGCGTCTGGCAGTTTCGACAGAATACAGACCACTTCGAATTATTTTATTAGATTAAGCTAACGTGCCTATCACGTTGAGGTTGGCTACGCCGGGATTCGTTTTCAGCAAGTAGATATCCACACAAGTGGACCTTGTTGGAGCAAACGTAATCCTAAAATGTAGCATCGCGTTACTGATGGCGTTTACTGCGCCATTTGTAGTATTTGCTATTGTCTAAATTTTCAAAATTTAAATCGACGTAGTTTCCGAAATATTCTAATAGGTAGTCACCGTGAGACACTTTGTATAAATATATATAATATTCAATTTATCGTACGTGTTGGTGGACGCACAACGTTCGTGATTTAAATTTCGAAAATTTGGACAATAACGTTACTGGATATGCTCTCCTCAATTAAAATAGTGGTATCTAGGATATTTCGGAAAGTACTTCGATTTAAAATTAGTTCAATGACCGTATTGGGTATGCTCTCCTCAATTAAAATAACGGCGTTTATGTAGCACTTCCGGTTATACCGGATGTTGACATCAATTTCGTTAATTTAAATGGAACACCCTATAATAATGGTTTTTAATTCTACTCATAATTCTAGTTAGACTTTCATTAGGCTTTATTACTTCTAAAATTGATCGTTTTCAAGATATTAATATTATATATAAAAGAAATTATGAGTGCTGTCAGCACAGGGCAAAGTAGTATTACGTAGTTAGTATCAGCAATTCCTTATGCTGAAGTGTACGATGTATTGCATACCTATTTACAAATAATTTAAATTTAATTTTTCAAACAATTTTTAACACAAAGAAAGTGATTAAACAAATTATTTACAAAAGTGGATATCGAACACTCGAAGCAATGGTACTAATGGTTTCGAGCTCACAGTGTCTGATAGGGGGGAATAACTTGTTTAACTTAAACAAAGTAGTATAGAGCAGTAGGTAGCGATTCGTAGAGTAAGAAAGCTGAAGTAACAATATTCTCAGGAGAGATAGTTATACCCTTAAGCTTCTTGTCCATACTTTCAAACTGGGTTAATTACATGTGGGGTGTTAGAATATTTAATGCCTCATTTGGTCAACTTTAAACAATCGTAAGTTTTCTTCCATTACTATTTTGAATTGCAAAATAAAATCGTTTATTTTTTACGAAGGTGGTTGTGAAATTCTTAACAGAATAATACAAGTACTTTGTTGTCACTCAAATACCCATACTGAGAACGAACTTACATTCTCAGTGTCAATTAATGAATATTATTGTTATTCAGATTGGAAAATGAATATACGCACTTAAAGTAAAAAAAACATTAAGAAATCAATTGCAATGCAGTAGACTACAGGTAACAATAGTAAATACAGCAAATAAACAATAAATAAAATAACAATATTTTCTGCGTCTGGTCTGTATATTTTCATTTATGATTCTAATTGTTCGCCTCCGTCTTTCCTAGTAGGCACTCCAACTCCATGTAACATTTTAATCTGTGTGAGGATAACACTTGAGCGGTATGTTTTTAGATAATTATTAAAAGACTAAAAAATTTCAACTAGAGACAATTTTTAGCGAAATCAGAATAAAAATTTTTCTCAGAAATTTTTTAACGCTCGCATAAATTATAAGTCAAAAAATTGCAAAAAAAAATTCGCTGCGGGATTTTGTTGAAAGCTTGTCTGCAGTCTAATTTGGGTGGTAGAATCCTAAAATAAAGGAAAAACGATAGGTCAGTTTTGTCGGAGGCGAGATATTTGTTTTTGAAGTTTTTTTTATGTAGGCCGCGTTTGTAAAGCTTCGGGATAAACGCCACAAAATTTAAACTGGTAAAGATACGCGTTTCTACTTTAGAATAGATGTTAATGTTAACGAGATATCAGTATATATATGCCACATTTGTACACTCGCCTTATAATATCATCAGCTCTAGTTGATATACTATCAAGTTTAATCTTAGTAGTCTTCAACTTGTTATCCAAATTATCCAATTTTTGGAAATGGATGTTTCACATTCAGAAATTGACTTTTTCAAATCAGCATTAGACTCATCAATCATTCGTTTCAACTTTGCCAGGAGATCATCATTCGGTTCATTGGTGAGAGTTAAGAACTTCTGATCTCCAGTCCTGATATTAGGACTACTACTACCAATAAACTCACTAGTCATATCAGCAATATCTAGGCTTCTTAGGACACAGAAGATACTTCTGTTCAGTTGCCGTAGACATCGACAATAGGGACTAATCCAGGAAATACACTTAAATTGATCTCAACTATATTAATAAACAAAAACAAAGGCACACAAATCGGGCTAGCAAGAGCAACGAGTCAAACCATTAAGAAATATCACTGAGGAGGACAGCCAACTAATACCTATCAAAAATATTCACATATTGAAATTTCTAAAATAAACTGCACTAGCTTATGTGTGTAGTAACCGTGTCATAATAAGGCCTTTTTAAGCAACTTCCAAGATCAAAAAGCTAAGTTTTCGAAAAAAAAAAACGTGATACGGAAGTTGTGAAACGAATCATTCTTTTCCAGATGGGAGCTTATCACACATTAGATTTGGAATTGAATCGAAAGTTTTCATTACGTAAGCAAGAATGGGATTCAGTATCTTTAGAGCGAATAGATGTAGCTTGTGACCCTAGTAAATCTGCTGATGTAGCTGCTGTTATAATGCAAGAGGGGCTTGCTTTTGTTTGTCTTATTACATCAAGTATGACATTAGTTCGAGCTAAAATTGATGTCACTATTCCTAGAAAAAGAAAAGGATTTATTCAACAACATGAAAAAGTAATTTTAGCAAGTACACCTAACAGGCTGATTGACATCTTATTTTTTAGGGATTGCAAAAATTTTATGATAATGTAATGCAGGCAATAATACGTCATATAGATTTTGATATTGTGAAATGTATAATAATAGCTTCACCTGGCTTTGTAAAAGACCAGTTTTTTGAGTACATGATTCAAACTGCAATTAAAACAGATAATAAACTTCTTTTGGAAAATAAATCTAAGTTTGTACTAGCCCACTCATCATCAGGATTTAAGCATGCACTTAAAGGTAAAAGCTCCTAGTAATATGTCAAAACACTAGTATAAATGAATTTTAGAAGTTCTTCAAGATCCCGCAGTTACTTCTAAAATGGCAGATACCAAAGCTGCTTCAGAAGTAAAAGCACTAGAACAATTCTACAATACATTACAGACTGAGCCTGCAAAAGCATTTTATGGGAAAAAACATGTTGAAAAGGCATGTGAAGCACAAGCTATAGAAACTCTCCTTATATCCGATAATTTGTTCAGGTATTTTATTTGAAATTTTAAATTGTCTAATTTAAAATAATAAATGAAAAAACTGTTTCATTACTTAAAAAATGTGTACATCTACCTATCAGAAATTATTATTTGTAATAGTTGCTTTTGTTTTTTAATATTTCATAAAAATTTATTAGCAGGAAGTAAAATGATATGACATTTAGGTACTTTTATTATTAAGCAAGATATCCTGACCAATCAAACATCTAAAATCCTGAAACAAAATGAAAATAATTTGATTAAATCCATACGTTGAAATGTCACGGCAGTTTTATCTTGCAACACTGAAACTTGTCTGGCTCATCCAATTTTGTTAATAGATGCCAAGATGTGCGACAGAGGAAAGAATATGTTAGGCTTGTTGATACCGTAAGAGAAATGGGAGGAGAAGTTAGAATATTTTCTAGTATGCACATCTCGGGAGAACGTAAACAAATTTATTTTTGCTATGAGTTATACATTAAGATTATGTATTTTATTAGAGTTAGACCAGCTAACGGGCGTTGCAGCCATTTTACGTTTCCCAATGCCGGAACTAGAGGAAGACGACAGCGAGGATGAACTTGAAGAAGACTAATCCATTTTTTTACTTTGTAATTTTATATAACTAAAAACAATTCGGGAAAATAAATTGGATTGTAGGGCATTTGTTAATATTAAACTTTGTGGTGTTAAGTATCTGTCCTAGCTTCCTAATAAATTATTTGAAACATGTGTTATTATGGTAATAAATTCTAGATGGTAAAGAATGTAAAACATTTCACTAATTAAATTATTTAATGTATAACGTTTTTATGATAATGTTGAACAGCACACGTATTTTGTTATATTATGTTTTGTTGTCTTTTTTTGATTCATCGATTATTCGTCTTTTCTTCCTTAGAAGCCAAGATTCCTTAGCTTTATCTTTCTTGTTTCTTATCATTGCTCTGTATATTTTCCTGTGCTTTTTCTTTATCATTTTCTCTCTTAATTTGTATTCTTGACGCTCTTGCTTCTTTTGCATCCACGGCTCTTCTTTATAGATTGTACCAGGTGCTACTGACAGTTTCTTTTTCTAGAAATAATCAATTTAAAAAGCTGAACAAAATTTTATTTTAAATACCAACCTTATCTAATGCTGGATCAAGCTTTTCAACTTCAGTTTCTTCTAACCCATTAGTTTTAATAATTTCATTGTTGTCGTGTTCTAATTCATCATTATTATCAATGCAATCAACTTGTTTATTTTCTTTTTCCTGTCTTTTTTTATTTATTTCTTCAGCAAAAGCTGGATCCATTAATGCTCTTTCTTCTGGAGGAATATATTGTTCAAATGGATTTCTTTCGTTGTTAACAAATGGTGATAAGTGTGGTGGTAGTACTTCTCCTATGAAATATTTGCTGACTGGTAGAAGTTCTTTAGCATTTACACTGTCAAATACCCATTGAGGCTGAACATAGTATCGAGAAATGTACTGTTTTTCTAAAGATGGACGATCTGCAACTTGGTGAGTAATTGTTTCATCATCCTCATTGAAGGTTGATCCTACAAACAAATTTTTGTCCCAGGATACCTCACCACCAAAACAGCGTATAATAAAAACTAAGGGTTCCCTTGGTACCTAAAAATAATATATAGTACAGCTTAAATTTTTTAAATATTTTGATGAAATTACTTCACGATTCAAAAAAAATTTAAGGCCTTTAAATAAAGTTTTAAGTTTTTTTATTTTTATTGCTTCATNATGTTTATCATTTTCAAAAAGTATTTATAGCATAATTAGACGTAAACAATCTAGGGAATTATTATGTGGGTGCATATTGTACGTAACTTGCTGCTGATATCCAGAAAACGTCCAGCATTTCAACTAAATCTATAAGTACACTGGAAACTGGATTGTTTGTTTTGTTTATTAAATTTTGTAGTTAAAATAAAATAAAATAATAAAGTTCCACGATTTGTTACTTATTGTTAGGATTATTAGCTACAAACAAATTTTTGTCCCAGGATACCTCACCACCAAAACAGCGTATAATAAAAACTAAGGGTTCCCTTGGTACCTAAAAATAATATATAGTACAGCTTAAATTTTTTAAATATTTTGATGAAATTACTTCACGATTCAAAAAAAATTTAAGGCCTTTAAATAAAGTTTTAAGTTTTTTTATTTTTATTGCTTCATTTCTAGCTTCCTCTATCTTCTCTGGATTATTTTCTGAAAACGTGTCAATTTCTATGTCTTCCTCGACTGGCTCATTTGATGTTTTCACTAATGGAGTATTCAAAGCTGCAATTCTTTCTGATAAAAACATGTTTTCATCAACCAAAGCCTTTTCTGATTCATTTGGCGTTGAAATACTTAGTTTTGGTGGATAAAATAAATTAAGTGAATGATACAGACGATAATTTACAAAACCCAACATTATCAAGTAAAATTCTACAAAAGTAGACATTACTTTAAAGTCAACTTCTTGCTTGGACTGAGGTTCAAATGAAAAGTGATGTGGAATAATCCATGTTACAGTTTGACCTTTAATTTCAGCTTGGTAGTAATAACCTTTGATAGAGATGAACACCTTTCTAAGTGCCTTTGCTTCTATTATGGCATGCATAAATTCAATAGTAAGTCGTCTACATAAATTAAACTGTTCTCGAGGAATATGCGCAAGAGATGGAAATGTACTAAATAGAAAACATAATGTTAGACAGTCATCCAAATCTCGAATGGCATCTATAAATGTTGGGTATCTTTCCTTTACAATATGGTCTAATTTAAGGGTAGGATGATTGTCAAGAAATTTCTTCATAGTTTTAAAATCTCTAACAGCTTTTGCTCTTCCTACTTTTCTGTTAAAAATTTTATAATCCCGTAGAGTCCATATTATTGGTTCATGCATTAAAAACTGAATATCCTTGATGTGATAAAGTGTTTTAATGCCAGTATCGCCTTTTTGAGCACGTTTTCGATTTCGTGGTTCTCTTGGATAAATTCCCTTTATGATGCACAATCTTCGAAAGTCATTTAATGTAAGTTGCAATTTTTTTAGTGCTTGTTTCCGTGAAATAAACTGAGAGCCTTCTCCAGTTGAATACTAAAATTTAATTATGTATTAATTTTAAAGATTAGAACGTTCATTTAAGATCAATTACTTTCTTTTTCCTTTTTGACACCATTTTATCGAAATAGTAAGAACCAACAACAAATTAATTGATTTCCAACAGAAAGGTTTAGTAACACACGTGCCACAAATATTTTATAATTATCAACGATTCACTCAACTATTGTCGCAGGGATTACTACGTAAATAGATCACTGCACAAAGTTAATTACTAGTAAATGGTAACAAAGTATTAGAAGAAAAGCGAATACATCGGAACACGTGCACCTCGCCTTCAATATCATAGGTTAGGTTATTGTCATGTTCATGTCATGTCATATTTTTGCATGCTGCTGTTTAGATTACAGTACCCTCCATAGACTACAGGCATAGATCCTAATAACCTTGGCATAGATCTACAGACGTCTATTCTTAGTAATTACTTATTCCACAGATATGTGTAGAGACGGATAGTGGCTATTTTACCTTAAACGAACACTAACAGAGAAGTATACAATATTTAAAATAGCTATGAGTTATACATTAAGATTATGTATTTTATTAGAGTTAGACCAGCTAACGGGCGTTGCAGCCATTTTACGTTTCCCAATGCCGGAACTAGAGGAAGACGACAGCGAGGATGAACTTGAAGAAGACTAATCCATTTTTTTACTTTGTAATTTTATATAACTAAAAACAATTCGGGAAAATAAATTGGATTGTAGGGCATTTGTTAATATTAAACTTTGTGGTGTTAAGTATCTGTCCTAGCTTCCTAATAAATTATTTGAAACATGTGTTATTATGGTAATAAATTCTAGATGGTAAAGAATGTAAAACATTTCACTAATTAAATTATTTAATGTATAACGTTTTTATGATAATGTTGAACAGCACATGTATTTTGTTATATTATGTTTTGTTGTCTTTTTTTGATTCATCGATTATTCGTCTTTTCTTCCTTAGAAGCCAAGATTCCTTAGCTTTATCTTTCTTGTTTCTTATCATTGCTCTGTATATTTTCCTGTGCTTTTTCTTTATCATTTTCTCTCTTAATTTGTATTCTTGACGCTCTTGCTTCTTTTGCATCCACGGCTCTTCTTTATAGATTGTACCAGGTGCTACTGACAGTTTCTTTTTCTAGAAATAATCAATTTAAAAAGCTGAACAAAATTTTATTTTAAATACCAACCTTATCTAATGCTGGATCAAGCTTTTCAACTTCAGTTTCTTCTAACCCATTAGTTTTAATAATTTCATTGTTGTCGTGTTCTAATTCATCATTATTATCAATGCAATCAACTTGTTTATTTTCTTTTTCCTGTCTTTTTTTATTTATTTCTTCAGCAAAAGCTGGATCCATTAATGCTCTTTCTTCTGGAGGAATATATTGTTCAAATGGATTTCTTTCGTTGTTAACAAATGGTGATAAGTGTGGTGGTAGTACTTCTCCTATGAAATATTTGCTGACTGGTAGAAGTTCTTTAGCATTTACACTGTCAAATACCCATTGAGGCTGAACATAGTATCGAGAAATGTACTGTTTTTCTAAAGATGGACGATCTGCAACTTGGTGAGTAATTGTTTCATCATCCTCATTGAAGGTTGATCCTACAAACAAATTTTTGTCCCAGGATACCTCACCACCAAAACAGCGTATAATAAAAACTAAGGGTTCCCTTGGTACCTAAAAATAATATATAGTACAGCTTAAATTTTTTAAATATTTTGATGAAATTACTTCACGATTCAAAAAAAATTTAAGGCCTTTAAATAAAGTTTTAAGTTTTTTTATTTTTATTGCTTCATTTCTAGCTTCCTCTATCTTCTCTGGATTATTTTCTGAAAACGTGTCAATTTCTATGTCTTCCTCGACTGGCTCATTTGATGTTTTCACTAATGGAGTATTCAAAGCTGCAATTCTTTCTGATAAAAACATGTTTTCATCAACCAAAGCCTTTTCTGATTCATTTGGCGTTGAAATACTTAGTTTTGGTGGATAAAATAAATTAAGTGAATGATACAGACGATAATTTACAAAACCCAACATTATCAAGTAAAATTCTACAAAAGTAGACATTACTTTAAAGTCAACTTCTTGCTTGGACTGAGGTTCAAATGAAAAGTGATGTGGAATAATCCATGTTACAGTTTGACCTTTAATTTCAGCTTGGTAGTAATAACCTTTGATAGAGATGAACACCTTTCTAAGTGCCTTTGCTTCTATTATGGCATGCATAAATTCAATAGTAAGTCGTCTACATAAATTAAACTGTTCTCGAGGAATATGCGCAAGAGATGGAAATGTACTAAATAGAAAACATAATGTTAGACAGTCATCCAAATCTCGAATGGCATCTATAAATGTTGGGTATCTTTCCTTTACAATATGGTCTAATTTAAGGGTAGGATGATTGTCAAGAAATTTCTTCATAGTTTTAAAATCTCTAACAGCTTTTGCTCTTCCTACTTTTCTGTTAAAAATTTTATAATCCCGTAGAGTCCATATTATTGGTTCATGCATTAAAAACTGAATATCCTTGATGTGATAAAGTGTTTTAATGCCAGTATCGCCTTTTTGAGCACGTTTTCGATTTCGTGGTTCTCTTGGATAAATTCCCTTTATGATGCACAATCTTCGAAAGTCATTTAATGTAAGTTGCAATTTTTTTAGTGCTTGTTTCCGTGAAATAAACTGAGAGCCTTCTCCAGTTGAATACTAAAATTTAATTATGTATTAATTTTAAAGATTAGAACGTTCATTTAAGATCAATTACTTTCTTTTTCCTTTTTGACACCATTTTATCGAAATAGTAAGAACCAACAACAAATTAATTGATTTCCAACAGAAAGGTTTAGTAACACACGTGCCACAAATATTTTATAATTATCAACGATTCACTCAACTATTGTCGTAGGGATTACTACGTAAATAGATCACTGCACAAAGTTAATTACTAGTAAATGGTAACAAAGTATTAGAAGAAAAGCGAATACATCGGAACACGTGCACCTCGCCTTCAATATCATAGGTTAGGTTATTGTCATGTTCATGTCATGTCATATTTTTGCATGCTGCTGTTTAGATTACAGTACCCTCCATAGACTACAGACATAGATCCTAATAACCTTGGCATAGATCTACAGACGTCTATTCTTAGTAATTACTTATTCCACAGATATGTGTAGAGACGGATAGTGGCTATTTTACCTTAAACGAACACTAACAGAGAAGTATACAATGTTTAAAATAGAGTAATTGTTAGAATAAATTATCTGACGCAATATTGTTACTGTAAAATAAAAAAGTATTCATTCTAATTTTGTAATAAACTAGCTTACAGTTTTATACCCTTCAAGTAGAGCTTAGTCACCATAGTCACCATCACCTGTCAGAGCTTTTCAAATTGTTCAGCTGTTCGCGGAAAAATTGGTGTTCTTGTGAACTTTAATAATAATTTTAATGTTCTTCTCTTGTTATTGGTAAGTTAATACAATACTAGCTTTATTTCACCTACAATTTTGCCTTAGGAAAATTATCAACATTCTATAACTACTGTAAAGATTTTATTAATTACTTTTCTTAACTATGATGTAAGTACATATACATATGCCAAGTATATGTATTAATTACATTTTCACATTAATTGTGAATTTATCGTAAAGAAAGTAGCCCTTTACAGTTATTCAATTATTCATTTCATCTCAAAAAAGTAGAACAGGTTGTTGCCCTATAAGGCAATTGTAAACAAACAGATTTGTTCTGAATTACAAATTACAAGAATCGAGAACCCCATTGCCTTTTTTGTTGTGTTATAATTAGATTTGATACTGACTTTTGCTGAATATGTCTGAAAACGTAAAATCTATAAATAAATGTCATTCAACTAAAAATAGTGATATATATATTTATAATATTACACTTAGCTACATTAATTTACATAATTAATTGTAAGTCATTTTTTAAAATTATTTTGCAGGTATTATTGATATTTAGAAAGAAATTATGTTGAAAATAGATTCCCTTGAGTAAATTAAAGCTTAGATAACTATGCTATAACTTCTGTTGCGATAGTTGCCTACGTGAGATAGCCACATTTGAATATTTTTTAAATCAACATTTTAATTTAGTTCTGGTCAGTCAGATAATTAAATTTTCTTTCCATAAATAAAATTGCCTCAGCTGTATCATTTACATTTGTAAGGTTTTAAGTATTAATTCTTTAAGCATTTTGACAGAAAATAGAATTAAAATAAGAATTATTTTTTAATTATTAAATATCTGTTCCGAACACTTTCTGATTTACACTAATAATTTTTTCATTTAGTTATACAATTAGAGAGAAAAAAATTGAAGTCTATTAATTTTCAAATCAGGACAACCTAAACTAACTAAACCAAACCAAACCTAATCTAATCTAACCTAAACTGATCATAACCTAACCTTCTAAATAGCGCATGGTTTATTTTTTGTTTCTAAGTTCGTTTATGGATGGTTTAGATTGGAAAGGCTAGACAAAGCAGTGGTAACTTAAAATTTAGTGTACGTCAAAATATCATTAAGTTGTGCTCGTTCGTACGCTGCGCAGTGTAATTCATTTTGTCGCAAGATTTCGTTTATGTTTTGAGCTTCATTATTGATAATACAATTGAGACGATTATTAAGACTATAAGGAGCCCAATCTCTACATAGCGCTGCAATCGCTATGAATTCAAGGTCACCAATCTCACTTGCTTATCTTAAATTTTCATTTGAGTGTGAGACAGCATCCAAAAAATTATTTTTTTGCATTTTCAATGGCAGGATTCATACTTATGATTTAAAATCAATATGGATTCGAAACGTAGCGAATAGCTGAGACTATCCAACTTGTTGCTGCTAATACGTCAGACCATGCGGGATTAGTCTATGACTATGAAATATAAAGAAATACACGGCAACAAAAATACTCTCTCGTCTATGAACACTCTTTTCGTGGCTGTTGACTTGAATGAGTGAGTGTTGTCTTCCCTACCGTAACCTTATCGTAAGCATATCTGTAAAAAAATTAGTAAGAGTATATAAACAAATTAACAAGTAAAATGTTGGGTGCGAATAGATCACTGGTCACTGGTTTACTAGTTGATCCTTTATAGAAGCTGTTGTGTACAACGGAATTATGTTGTTAAGTCCAGAAGTCTAGAGCTGCCATGTGACGTCGTAGTCGGTTTGAGTACTGCACGTGGTGCATCAGTTGAAGTAGACATTTTTACAGTTACTTTAACTTTAGTAGTAGTAAAAAAAAGTTGTATAGTTTACAGCCACATCTCCGTTTTTCTTGAATTTTGTTGTATTATGTCGCATATCAAGTTTCTATCCACAGCATCACATGATATCCAGAAAACGTCCAGCATTTCAACTAAATCTATAAGTACACTGGAAACTGGATTGTTTGTTTTGTTTATTAAATTTAGTAGTTAAAATAAAATAAAATAATAAAGTTCCACGATTTGTTACTTATTGTTAGGATTATTAGTCATAAATTACGGCAAACTGTCAAAGAATGCCGCGAAAAGTGGTACCTTTCGGTACATAATGTGTACCGAAATAGTTAATAGTAAAAGTCAATAGTTATCATCAATGTGGAATCGTCAGTCTGAAGAGCGCATTTCCCTAAAACTAGAATATCCCAAATCCCTAACTATTTATGAACAGTAATCTAGTCTAGACCTTGACGAAACTGTTGTACAAGCTAGACTGGGGGGATCGGCTTGAGAGTTTCGATGATTTAGGGAGCCGGACCATAGGTTCAACCGTAATGGGGAGGGGTTTCTTAAAGAGAAATTATTCTAAGACAAATCCCTGAAAGAGGGCAGCAGCTCTTTCAGTACTCAGGGTGGCAGAGAACACGAGGATCGGTATGGCACTCTGATGCACAATACTGCGGTGTGAAAAGCAACGGGAAACCACCACATTATGATCCCGAGAAGAACGTATCACACAATTAATGAAGAGGTATTAGAAAGAGTAAGAGAACAGAGGACTCTAGGGAAGTCAATAAGAAATAGGCGAGATAGGTTAGTAGGACACCTTCTCAGGCATGAAGGTCTAGTTAGAGACATATTAGAGGCAGAAACGGAAGTTAGGAGGGGTAGAGGTAGACCTAGGTTAGATTACAGTTCGCAAATAGTTAAGGATATGGGTTACTTTAGCTTTAGGGAAATGCGAAGATTAGCGCAGGATGGGAATGAGTGGAGGTGCGTGTCGAACCAATCTTAGGACTGACGACCTTATGATGATGATGAATCTAGTCTAGGTACACCTCTGCCCTTCTTAACTCTCGTTTCTGCATCTAATATGCCTCTAACTAGCCTTATTTCTTATTGTATAGTACATGTAAATATGGTAAATGGTGAAGTCTAATATTTTTGATCAGCACATATGTATAGGGTTGTTCGGAAAGTCATTTCGTTTTTTCCCGACAGAGGATTTAATTGTATTCTTTTGCACCCAACTTCACATTTAAGCCGTATAATTTTTATATGCTTTGAGAGCTCATATAGCAAGGCTTGTGTAATTTAATAAAGTATTTGTTTATTATACGAAAACTGTCTTTCATTTCCACAAAAAAAAACGAAATGACTTTCCGAATAACCCGATAGATATATATACCTATTCTTGATGAGCCCACTGAACTGCGCAACATACTAATTGTAAAATTTCAAGAAAGTCGGAGGTGTGGCCCTCAAAGTAAACATTTTCTTTCAAAATTACTACTAAATTTAAAGTTACCGTAAAAATGTTTGCTTCAATTGCACAAGCAGGATCGTTAGTTGCGGCAGAAACGCTTTTTTAGTTCGTAATTGTTTTGTTCCATTAAAGAGAACACTTGCCACATGACGTAAAAATTGTAATTTGCTGCATTCATGCCTTGTTTCTATTTTTTTTTCTGAGAACTATCCTATCCCTTTTGTCGCGTCAATTCCATTCATTTTCAACAGCGACGACGCGACGCCTGGCGTCCCTTCCCTTGGTGCGAATAGTGCCAGTTTACGAGTAATATATATACATACTCAGTTCTGAAATAATCCAGTTGAATTCCTTCCAAGCGTAGAGTTCAGACTCTAAGTCGCGTTAGTGGCTTCAGGAAGTAATCCCGTAGGAACACGGCTTTGGTCGAAAGAATGCAGTTTATTGAAGCATGTGCGAATTTTCTTTATGTATGCGTGAAAAATGTTTCTTTTCGTTTTCACTGTGTGCCAGTGATAATAATATGTGTTTTGATTATACTTTGACGACGAAAAAACGTCCTCGGTATATTTCCGAAGACGATGAAGCAAGTTCATGTTTTTGAAATTGTATTTGGTTAATCCGATGCTTTAAATCGAGATGGAGGTGGTCACATTTGTGCAATTTCCCTTTTTGTACGTAAGCAGTTTCTCATGGAGGAACCCGAGGAAGCGTTCGCTTAGAATTGTACGTAATGTACTTGCTCTTAATGCACACGATTGAATATACATTGTCTGTCATCGTTCTGTGCTCGTTAATTATTATTGGCTTGTTGGCTGCTAGAAAAGACCAGATCTATCTTGTTCAGAAGAGGCACAGATATGTAGACTGGTTGGAGCCGTAATAATGAAGTTTTACGAAAATGTAGTGTATGGTTGTTGGTGTATCATATATATATATTTGAAATATTTGAATATTATCTGCCTGTGCTATATTATGTTTATGGTTTAATTAATTTTTGGGTCGTAAACAATATTATGCCTCGTCCAAAGCGAGTTTTATAGTTTACTGCATGCGCACAGGTATACATAATTAAGTATCATTTATTTTGGATCACGCTACACATCTATAAATTGTTATTGCTTAAATTCACAAACAACAAAATTCCACTAGCAATAAATGAAGAATTAAAACTTTGTAAGATCCATTTGAATGTTTATCATTTTCAAAAAGTATTTATAGCATAATTAGACGTAAACAATCTAGGGAATTATTATGTGGGTGCATATTGTACGTAACTTGCTGCTACTGAGGAAATGGTGTTACGTTATTCGTATATTTGATAAAAAAACTAACTTAAACACTTTATTAAATGTTGAACAT